ATATACTAGAAGTAAGGTTGGTCTTAGTGTAGTAATTTATTCTAATTTTAAACAAGTTGATTTCTTTCTTGTAACGTTAAATTTGGTTTCCAATAATTTTCAATCATACATGAAAAATAATGCCAACCAGATTTATATCCGTTTTGGTTATTCCTCATTGAGTGACCTTTTCTAGGTTGCAACAACTTGATTTGGCCAGTTTATCTGAAGAGATAGCTTAAATGTAGAACAAGTATATCTGACGACTAAACCTCTTTACGGACAAGAATCCTTTTTCTTTTGGTTCTTAGGTTAAGCGTTAAGTGCAATTGTTCAACTGCAAGAAGACATAATGCATAGTTGTTAGCAAAAGGATAAGCCCAAAGTGCGTATTTCAAATCGGAAATACCAAAATCAAACAAGTGCGGAAATTTATATATCTGGGAAGTGTTTTAACAGAGGACAGAAGGTGGGATACCTAAGTCCGAAGGCGTGTTGGGATAGCCTTTTAAAAGCTAAGCAGAGTACAAAGAAATAGAAAAACTTCCTTAGAATCGAGGCAAAGCGTACTAAAAGTCTACGTCATATCTGTCCTCCTGTATAGCAGTGAGTGCTGGACAATCTCCTTAATGATGAAGAAACTTGAAGCAACAGAAATCTGGTTCAACAGAAGGATGCTGAGGATAAAATGAACCGAACATGTAAGCAACAACCTTTTCTGGGTTACAACATAATATCTTCTTTCTTTTGCAGGCATACGGTGTATTTTCTTTCTTGTTATTTAGTTGTATAAAAATTTAAAAAAATACAAAATATCGCCTTATTTGTCTTCCATTACCTTCCACCTGTCATTTACATGTCCGAAATATTGTTGCAACTGCTTTTAGTCTCGTAATCAGTGCCCACAAACATGGTGTACGCCGATGTGATATTAACATGCACCTAATGGTGGTAGCCATGTTGTATTTCAACACAGCATCTGCTGCAACAGGACAAATATTTCTCAATAGATTTTCGTAAATACTTTCTAATATATAACGAAATAACGTTTCTATTTCTATACTTTGTTGGTAGCCATGTTGTATTACAAACCATTAACAATGGATTGATCCACACGCGTTTTGATCGATCACTTCATGTCAGATTAATTCAAATGAAAATAAATTAGTTTCTTACGGATATTGTCGACTTTTCAAGAACAAAAGTAATAGGGGGATTAAAAGCTTTCTTGTGCCTTTCACATCAGCATATGATCAGATGTGGAGGCACGTAATAAACGCCCATGTCGTTCTATGTCCTAACACGATCTGACATGATCAGTTGGGTGAGTTAGTTTACACTAAAATCGAAGGGAAAGGCATAATCCCCCCAAAAAATTCTGCTACATTTCCATTTTTAATTAACGGCCTTCTCAATGTCATCAGATCTCGACTCGATATCTATGCTGATTGCAACTATTCACCCCCGTTTTAATGATCTGATAGGTTCGATAAAGTCGAATTGACAGCTGATCTCGAAAATGACCTCCAATCTGTTTTTAATTGGGATAAGTAATGGCTTGTTAATTTTAACACCACCAACACTATTCTGCTCCCTCATCTTGGAAAAACATTTTGGCTAGGTCTCTTTTGTTTTACAGCATATCAACTTCAATGGGTTATTTATTGCCAACAAGATTTTTTATTGCTGGTAATATTTTTCCCCAAAATGTACTCCTGGTAATAATTTTTACAAAAATCTATTGCTGGTAATATTCTTTTTTTTCAAAAATGTACTGCTGGTAATATTCTTTTTTTTCAAAAATGTACTGCTGGTAATATTCTTTTTTTTCAAAAATGTACTGCTGGTAATATTCTTTTTTTCAAAAAAACTGGTAATATTCTTTTTTTTCAAAAATGTACTGCTGGTAATATTCTTTTTTTTCAAAAATGTACTGCTGGTAATATTCTTTTTTTTCAAAAATGTACTGCTGGTAATATTCTTTTTTTTCAAAAATGTACTGCTGGTAATATTCTTTTTTTCAAAAATGTACTGCTGGTAATATTCTTTTTTTTCAAAAATGTACTGCTGGTAATAATTTTTACAAAAAAGTATTGTTGGTATAAAAACCTATTTTTATACTTTCATGTGTTTAGTCTCTCTTTTGCGGGGTAACTATTTGCCCATAGCTGGGATCCTGACAAGTGCTACCACCTTGGGTCAGGGTGGATTTGGGAACACCAGCAATTAAAAGGTGGATCCATGCTTCTCAAAACCTCTTGGTCAAAGCCTTTGCTGCCGGATGTAGTTTATCGTCATACCGAGGACGAAAACCTTTTTTTTTGCCTTCCATCATGAAGATAGGAGAGTAACGCATTGTACCTTTTCGGTCTGATATTTTCCACTGACATAATTTGGAACGATTAAATCGAATCAATTGCTAGGTTTGCCACTAAGAAAGGTAATTCATTGTCGCGCACTAGACAATCTTTCTCGCTGGAATAAATCTTTCACATTTACAAGTGTACCATTCGTCCGTGCATTGAATATTCCTGTCGTATCTGGTCTGGTGCTTCTGTTATGTATTTAAAAATTTTTGACAATTGGTCCTGACATGGAATCTCAACTTCAATCCCTTTCCCACAACCTAGCTTTCTTGTGCCATTTCTATAAATACTTTTATGCCAATTGTTCTAATGAATTTAAGCTCAGTACTAAATTGGCATCTAGGTTTCATCACGTTCCAGTTGAAACGGCTAGATGTAACCATAAGATCTGTTAACTTTTTTCACATGCACTCCAGACGTGTGAACTATTTTTCGGTTTCTGGCTTTACTGTCAACGGTGATGATCAAAATTTTGTATGCATTGTCATCTTCTGTATGTTTAAATCTTGTTCTTTTATTATTGTTTCTCATCACTAACGTTTTCTTTCTCTTTCAGAACCCCCCCTCCCACCTTGCGTCTTAGTGGCTTTATCGCCTTGCTCTGGGTGAAAAGGATGGAGTCATTCTTTATGAATTCGACATGTACGATTTAAGTCCATGAAATCAGTATTTTTGGGTTGAATTGAAATTAATAATAAGAGTACGTGAATGAAAGTCGAATTCAAAAAGTTCTTTCTTACTGTTATCAGCTATCATGTAAATTTGTTTACTTTGATAGGGAGTAATATCAGGTTCACAGACTCCGAACACTGGAATTGAACATAACAGGAATAATATAGGAATATACCCACAAGTTTGTGATAACAGCGATTTTTATTAAATGACTGTCTCGAAATCGTATGTGATTAAATATGCCGCTCGAATTGGTGTTTTGTGACTACATTCGTTGTCACGTAGCGAGCCGTATATGTATCACTATGTTAGTCTCCATTGCTATCTTCAGGCTAATACTCCAAAAATTGCACTTCCTTTTTTTTTACTGAAAGTTAAATCAACAGTCTTTTTCACCAGGAGAAAGTTTTTTGTTTTTTTTTAGTATCAAATATCACAACGTGTATGATCTGTATTGGTTACTTTTATTGTCCATAGTAGGGAAATTATACTGACTAATTGTCAGTGAGTGACAGGGACTCTCCAATCCTAAAATTTTAGCAGAGTCATGTGTTCACTACTAAGTGATAATTCTCAGTGAAGAAATTTGGAGGTAGAAATTAATTTTTTTACCGGGGAATCTAGCTAATAGTTGATTCGTCAATACACGAGCCAAAGAACAGGCGTCTCACTCCCTCTTCTGGGCCTTGTGCCCGTCCACCAACACTATGCAATACATCGTATTTCGTAAATGCAATAAATTTTCAACATCTTTTCCACCGCCATAAATTTTTTTCCCTGTGCACTTCATGCAAATACTTTCATGGTAATTGTTTGGATGAGCGTGGGGTGGAAGAATTAATAAAATATCACGTATACATCCGCCTGTGTGTTACCTTAAATTTTAAATGGGATCAATATATTGACTGGTAACAAGCAGAGCATTCTGTTTCTCCCATTTACTTTAATAACATAAATAAAACATAGGACAGGTATTAAAAAAAGACGTAACTGGTTTCTGTTCGCGTTTATCTTGGAAACAAAAACAATGAATATTAGATGTGGATTTATTGAAAATGCAAAACAGCAAAGAATATGGACAAATGGAACGGAATTGTCGATGTTCTTCTGTTAGATTGTTCTTGATCGGTAACGTGTTACTGTTGTTTTATTAAATACCTCGTTAATTAAAAACTGGTTCATTTGAATGTCTAGATCTGATAGAGGAACGTCATCGGTCCACAAATTCGTACATCTCTGATGAAGACCCCAGTAGCGAATCATTTCAGACATCATGGCGATGACAAAGAGGAAATGAGATCCACCATGTATTTAATCTCTTCCATGACTACGCTCTGCGCATATATAATTTGGTTGATGGATTCGTTTTTTTACGGCTTATCAACCGTTTGCAAGTTATTTAAAGCCAGAAAATATTTATAGATAATTTTTTCCGATAATAATAGTTTAGTGATACAAGTCTTTACTAATTTACCAATAGCTGGAGCGAGAAGAGGTGGATTCATACTAATCAGAATTTGATAATCAAACATGAAATTATAATGTGGATATAAAATCGGGGATCAAATCTATATTAAAATTAATATATAAACTTATCCCTAACTTTGTATCCACGGTAGTTTCTATACCGTTATATTCCAGAAAATGTAAATAAATCTAAAAGACGTGCCTATGTAGCTAAGTCACATTTCATTGATTTCGTTTTTTTACGGCTTATCAACCCTTTGAAGGTTATTTAAAGCCAGAAAATATTTTCAGATTGTAAGATTTTTATTTTGGGGGAGATAATGTTTTATGATATAAGTTTTACTAATTAACTCATAGCTGGGGGTAGACGGGGTGGATACAAAGCTTTCCCAAGGGTATCTGCGCATAAGTGAATTTAACGAACCCAACTGGAATTGGAACTCGGCTCTTAGATTGACAATTTCGAACCGTTATCCATTCCACCACACGCGCATCCAATCTAGGGAATATCAGGTACTGTAACACCTGGTATTCCCAAGTAACCAATCGAGGTACCTATCAGGCTCGATGTTGCTTAACTTCGGTGATCGTACAGGAACCGTTGCTTCAACATGATGTAACCGTAAGCCTACACACAGGTAAAGTAACAATAACATCATTAAGCAGATCCATTGTTTATATTACAACCCCCAGTAATCAAGGCTCTCCACATGTTGCTGTCCTTTGCAGCTCTTAATAAATGTCGTCACGCTGTTATCCTAAACCCTGTTTTGCCATCAATTCACTCAAGCTCGTCAAATAAATTATGCGTTGTTTTCTTCTCTTCCTCTTCTATTTAATCAGTCCTGTGAGTATCATATTTTCCAAGCCCTCTTTCCTTATGCGCCCTAGAAACCTCAAATGTCTCTTCCTAATGTTAAGTATAAGTTTCCATTGTTGCTTACATGTTCGGTTCATTTTATCCTCAGCATCCTTCTGTAGAAACACATTTCTGTTGCTTCAATTATTTTTAGATAGCAAGAACTTCTTTTTGAGATAATAATAGTTTAGTGATAAGATGAGAAGATACCGAATCTGAGTTTCAAAAACAAATTAGAAATTATAATATGGATATAAAGTGGGAGTCAGTTCTATATTACCACCAATATATAAAATGATCCCTCATTTTCTGGTCACGGTAGTTTCTATTCATTTATATTCCCGAGAAGGTACCGTCCTGGGTATTACAATAAACTACATCCGCGTCCTCGGTAAGAGTATAAACTACATCCAGCAGCAAGGATGTTCAGGAGGTTTTGAGGAACGTGGAACCACTTCTGGTGTTTCCAGGTCCACGCTTACTCGGGGTGGTAGCACCTGTTAGGGTCCCAGATATGGGCAAATAGTTAACCTCCACACTGGGGTGTCAAAACACTATGAACGTGTGAAAATAGGTTTTAATACCAGCAATACATTTTTGGAAAAAAAGAAAATATTACCATCAGTGCATTTTATGTCCAACTCTTGTCGGCATTAAATAACCCATTGAGGTGTTGATATGCCGTAAAACCAACCAAAACAAACAAACCAGAAAAGGTAAATAATTCTAAAAGATATATCAGTGTAGCTTATCAGTATTTGATTGATTGATACATTTTTTATGGCTTATCAAATAACCTAGGTTATTTAAAGCCAGAAAAGAGATTGTAAGATTTTTTTCTTTTTGGAAGATGATTTACAGTAAGTAATTAACCTATAGCTGGAGGGAGATGAGATGGATTCACAACTTCACCCAAAAGTATTCGCGTAAGTGAATATAACGAACCAAGCGGGAATTGGAACATGTCTGCTTAATAATTTTGAGCCACTGTCCGTTACATTACTCACACACCCAAACTTACAGCACACGGTATTCCCAAGAGGGCACCCATCTCGGTACTGACCACGCTCGATGTTGCTTAACTCCATACAACATTGCAAACGAATCTAATAATAGAAAACGGCGTTCCCGCTTTCGTTGCGTACCGATGATGAGGTGGTTCAAGAGTTAGGTATCCATAGTTGGGATAAGAATGATCTTGAACACACACAAAATCAGCATCCTCTATCAAGTGTTCCCAGAATTGGAACTCAAGACAAACCTTTCCAAAATCGAAAGTATGATCTGGAACTGAAATGAAAGTCGTGATGGCATCTATTTTTACGTGCTTTGTCCCTTCAGGACTTAGGTGATCACGGCCCTCCACATCTTCCTGTCCCTTTTAGCTTTTAAGTTTTATCTTTCTGCTATTTCTCTCAAACCCTGTTTTATCATCCATTTACTCAAGCTCATCAAGTATGTTTCGTGCTGTTTTCCTGTTTCTCAGTCTGTCCTGCGAGTATCAGGTTTTCCAAACTCACTTTCCCCCATTTACGTGCCCTAGAAATTTCAACTGCCTCTTCCTGATACTAAGTAGGTTTCCATTTTCTCTAAAACCTCGTCGTTGCTCACATGTTCAGTTCATAATATCCTCAGCATCTTTCTGTAGAACCACATTTCTGTTGCTTCAAGTTTCTTCATCTTTGCGGAGATTGTCCAGCATTCGCTGCAATACACGAGGACCTATCACGTAACAATTCAGTACTTTTTTCTTTGTTTCTAACGGAATTTTTCCGTCTCTTAATACTCTGCTTAGCTTTTGGAAATCATCTTTGGCCATTGCAATACGTTTTCGGATCTTAGTGTTGGCCTTTCCGTCCTCTGTTAGAATACTTCCCAGATATTTAAATTTGTGTACTTAGTTGATTTTAGTATCTCACTATTTGGTCCATAATGAAGATTCAGGAGGTGGAATTAGTAAATACTAAACATCTCAAGTACATGGTGTATTTATCAGTTATAAAAAAAAATAGTATAGGAGATAAGGAAATTGAACATAGAATAGACTGTGTTAGGGTAGTCTTGCACAATACTGCAAGATGCCACAAAACCAAAACATTAAAGATCCGAGTCATGTTCTTAATTAACTGTGTCAGATAAAGAGACTCATAGATGTCATGCATGGTACCAAATTCGTTTAGTAACGTCTAAACTGTATATAGCCGCTTTCCCATATCAATGATTAAAAATGACGAATGTGCATAGCTTTTAAGGAAGACAATCCTTCTTATCTTTTGGATTGGCGCTACAGAATCACAAACAAATAACTATACTAAATAACAGAAACCACATCAGCCAAGGGCTTTCAACAAAAAGCAGCAGCTAAAAAAGGATAGCTCGTGTAACTCAGAGAAAATAATGACGTCTTCAAGATATTGATGCTCCATACGACTTCCAACAAAAGGTTAAAAGGAAACCCCCATTAATATTGAAAAGATTCAGAACAGTGGACCTGAAAAACCTGTTTTTCTGAAAAAATATTCTAATAAAAAGATTTCAATTGACAATAGCACTAGCTGCTTAATAAACGAATGCCGAATGTTCCCTTATAAGAAAACTGATAATATTACGATTACAACCGGCGCAAGGGTCTTGTGTCCTCCACTCTACTACATCTCAGTTTTATTCATATAAAACACAAATTTTATTGTAACCTAATTAAGTACATTAATGGACCATATGTAATATAGGTGAACAATTCAATTAGAAAAATTGAAAATAAATACAATGTGTCTAAATAGAAATTAGGGACATATAATACATCATTCTATGATAAATCAACAACATTTTTTGGCAACTTTTAACATTATCTTGACATTTTTCTTGTTAAAATGTTGAATTTTAACACATTCAACATTATGGATAAACAATAGTATACTTTATATATTGTGTTTTTTCGAGACTTAGCATAAGCAAAACAAATTTACGGATTTGAACGAAAAGAGAAAAAAAAATTCAGAATGACGTCGAAATCCGCGAAATCTTTTCATCGTTTAATCGTCAGTTGGGTTTAATTTAATTTGTATAAATGTAGGAATAAACAAAAATGTTAATATAGTGAGTATCACAAAGCACTGCTCGGGATCACAAAGTACTGCTCAGGGTCCTCAAATTAGGCTTACTCTCCCCCGTTTGGGGAGGAGTAGTACGCACCGACTGACTAGTTGGTTACAGGATCTTTTACAGATTTAAAAAGACTGTGCTTGTTACTTGTTAAATAGTTGCCGACTATTTTGTTATACTAGACACGAGTAAATTTGTTATTAATTCAAACCAAAGAATTAAATATCGATGGTTAAAAAGGTGGGTTCGAGGTAATGAAACCTGTAGGTCTTAGTGAGGACAATCCTTCTACGAATCTCGTGAACTGGAGCTACAGAACCACAGAGAACTGTAGCAAATAACAGAAACCATATCACTTAAGCATTTTTAACGACAGTAACAATTAAAATGGCTATCATATCGAGTGAGAGAGCAGAACACCAAGAAAGTGATACTAGAGTAGAGGAACTAATCAACTGCAGGGAAAATAGTAAAGGAAAGCGAGAAGAAAGAACTAAATATCAATTCTAAGAAGACAGAATATATGGTGGCCTGCAAAAGGAAGTGCCCAACATGCCAAATACAATATGGAGATAACAAATTCAAGCGAGTACAACAATTAATCTAGGAAGTGCTTTAACAGAGGACGGAAATTACGACACTGAATTCCGAAGGCAAATCAGGATAGCGGAAGACGCCTTCTAAAAATTAACAAATTATTAAGATATATATAAGATGTATATGCAAGCAATTTATTCCCATTTAGCAAGAACCGATTTTCGAAAACCATGAATGATAGTAAGAACAAAGTATTATAAGAAGACAGAGTGGATAGATGTTAGCAAAAAGAACAACAATCGTGCCAATTGCAAATTGGAGATGCCAAAACCAAGCGAGTACAACAATTTATATAATCTAGGCTTTGAGAGAGAATAGAAAGTACGACACTGAATTCCGTATGCAAATTTGGAAAGCGAAAGATACTTTCCAAAAGCTAATGGTAATATTAACTGTTTCCCTGTAACGAAACATTTTGAATTCATTGACAGAACAGATAGTAATGCTTTCAGTTGAAATTTATAAAATCTTTCTGTTAAAACAAATTTTCAGGAAAACAGTCCAGAAGCTGTTATCGTCCTTCCCAGCATTGATGTGGGGGTCTCCTTCCTAACCTTTTATTTGAAGTAGTGGATAATGTTAACATCTTTTTATATGCCGTTAAACAAAGAAATCAAATCACATCTATTGAAGATGTGATTTGATTCGTTTGTTTAGTTGCATATCAACTCCTTTATAAGTCTTGGCAGTGAGTTTTTTGGGGCTTGGTTGTGGAAATTTATCCTTGTCAAGCCAATGTCATTTGCATTGAACATTGTAATATGGAACCCATTTTCATCACATGTTATATATTTTAAGAACGATTAGTTAAGATGATAACGTTCGTAATGACAATTTATTCTCCCAGGCGGAAAATACTTTTGACTCAGCCTAATAGATATTTGAAAGATGATATCAGTATTTTAAATGAATCTATTGCAAAATTTTATAAAAATCGCCATAGAAATTATCTATAGTAAATTGTAAACCCGATTGCAGTTTCGATATTTCTTTTATCCATTTTTAACCTTCATTAAATACACAAAAATGAGAATTACAAATTGGAGATGCCAAAATCAAGCGAGTAC